TCATAGTGGGGCAGGGAGGGGAAGCATGAGAGGAATAAATGAACTCTAGATAGGGCAGAGGGGTGGGAGGGGAAAGGAGGAGGCAGGGGGTTAGCAAGGATGGTGGAATGTGATGGACATCATTATCCAAAGTACATGTATGAAAACACGAATTGGTGTCAACGTACTTTATATACAACCAGAGATATTAAAAAATTGTGCTGTATATGTGTAATAAGAATTGTAATGCATTCTGCTGTCATTTTTTTTTAAATCAATTTTTAAAAGCTATTTTAAAAAAATTAAGGGGACATAATCTATGTTTGCATAGTTTCCCAGTTTTTTTTAAATGATTGTGTATTTTCTGCTATAAAAGACTTTACATTTATCTATTAAATTAGACTTATTAGCTGTATTATCCACATTTTTAAAATATTAACTGCTTGATTTATCAGTTTGTGAAATAGTTAAAATTTTTATTGTACATAATTCAGTATTTTCTCCACTTTTAAAAATACTTGGACTTATGTTGGTTCTTATTTTTAATACTGATTATGACCCTAATTATTTTCTTATTTATGATTCTTATTTTTTATTAGTTTAAACATCTATCTTTCAATATTAACACATTTTAATCTTATGATTTTTTTTTCATTTGCTATTAGTATTTTTTTACCAGCTTTTATTTGTTTGGTATGTCAGTACAGAATACAGTGTGGTATTACAAAGTTAAATAAATGGGTTAAAACTTGGTGATTTAATTAGATGAAATTTTATCTGTCACTCTTCTAACAAAAAATCTAAAGTTTAGAGGCTGGGACAAGAACATTCACAGCTAATTAATAATAATATTAATATGTGGTGCTTAGGATTGAACCCAGCTCCCCATGCATGCCAGGCGAGCGCACTACCGCTTGAGCCACATCCCCAGCCCTAGCATTTCATTTTCTGAGCATTGTTCTCTGCACCCTTCCCATATATATATGTTATTATGCCCAGGTTTCCATGACAAACTGTCAAACACCATGTAGTTTAAACAACAGAGATTTATTTCCTCACAGGTCTGGAGGCTGGAAATTCAGGTCAAGGGGCCAACAGTGCTGGATTCTGGTAAGGCCACTCTCACTGCTGGTCCACAGGCCACCTTTTCAGAAACCTGTCCTCCATGAGTGCACACAGCCTTCTCTGATGCCCAGCATTTCTCCTCTTCTCATAAAAACATCAGTCCTACTGAATTAGGGACTCTGCATATGACCTCCCTTAACCTAATGACATCCATGATTGTCCTATCATCAAATATAGTCAAGTTGGGGGATAGAGATCCAAAATTTGGATTTTTAGGACAAACAGTTCAGTTCATTACACAGTCTTTCTGAATTAGGTCCATAGGAAGCATTTATAGTTAGGGGATGGGTACTGGAAATTTCTCCAGGTATTTTTGTATGAAATGATATTAACTGAGCTAATCTTTATAGATGTACTTTTAGTCAAGAATTTAGGGGGCTGGGGTGGTGGTTCAGCAGTAGAGTGCTCCCCTAGCACGTGCAAGGCCCTGGGTTCGATCCTCAGCACCACATAAATAAAATAAAGGTATTGTGTCCAACTACAACTAAAAAATAAATATTAAAAAAAGAATTTAGGGTTGTAGTTACATTTATTAGCACTTCGATGATGTGAATCAATTGTCTTCTGGCATACTTTTTAAAAACTTTCTCGTGTAGTTCAATTTCATTATTTCGCCTATCATTACTTTGTAGATTCCTTCTGAATTTCTCTTTGCCTCTGAGGATTGTAAATTTCTTACAAAGTACACAAGTGAATATATATGAGGCATTTCACTGACTATAGAGTGCACACACTAGAAAACATACCATTATTAACATGCCTTTAATTGGTAAGAGAGAAATACATATTCATCCTCATACATAAAATACAATTAATACTTCTTTTTTATTTATTTATTTTTTACAATTGATACTTTTAACACAGGTATTATCAGAAAAGGTAGGAAGAGAATGATTCTCTCTTTAGATAACTTGTACAACTCTTAAAACTGAACACAGTGCTATGCTTACTGTTACACTTACCATGAAACTCTATTTGCAAACAAAGATGCTAAATTTCACCACAATTATTTAACCTTTGGAATATTCCAGCCATTTCTTTATGTATATAACCACCAAAAATAATTTATGAATAATTAGCAGAAGTAAAATAATGATTACAAATAACTTTTATGCAGATAATATCATTTTCACCTTCAAAAGTTAAGAGAATAAGATTATAATACAAGCTACATGTGCTACATTAGTAAAGCAGCTGGTTTCCAAGTCAACAAACAAAAATACCTGTACCTTGTTATGTGCATGTTGACCAAATTCTTAATGTCATAGAAAAATAACAGCATTAAATATAAGAAACAAAATTATATATTCTTTTATGTCTTTTTCTACTGTATTCTGGATGTGGCTATAAGCAACCTCTTTCCAATTGACATTGAATCTGAACATGGGGGAGATCCTCCCTATGCCACGTTATTATGTAACTCTCAGCTGGAATTCTCAGGTAACACCAGATCACTCTTTTATCATTCAGAACATCTCCTCACATGAAAATAGTATTACACATATATGTATAATATTAAAAAGGTATAAAATATATGGATTCCCTGCCACATATATAATATTCTCTTTTTAGTGGCTACCTATTATACATATCTGCTTTTTATTTTACAAATAAAAGTCTTTCAGACATTTCAAAAAGACAAATAGAAAATTTGTGCTGCATATATTTGCTCAATGAATAAATAATTAAATGAAATATATAGAAGAACAGGAAAATCTACATACCAAATTCAAACCAGCAGTTCAAAGGAATTTGTCAAGAAAAATAAATCACAAAGAGTTCTTCATGTTTAAAAATTTATAGACTTTTATCATATTGAAAATTTAATTGGAAGCCAGGAGTGGTGGTGCACACATGTAATCCCAGTCTTGGGAGGCTGAGGCAGGAGGATCATAAGTTCAAAACCAGTCTCAGCAACAGCAAGGCACTAAGCAACTCAGACTCTGTCTCTAAATAAAATAGGGCTGAGGATGTGGTTCAGTAGTTGAATCCCCCTGAATTCAATCCCTGATACCAAATAATAATAATAATAACAGCAATGAACACAGGCACATGTTTCCCTCTCAATCTCCTCTCTTAAATGTAATTCATTGTAAAATCTTCACCTATTTTACTAAATTTATGTAATTTTAGATACATCTAATCTTTGGAATATTCCAGCCATTTCTTTATGTAACTAACCACCAAAAATAATTTATAAATAATTAGAAGAAGTAAAATAATGATTACAAATAAATTTTATGCAGATGATATAATTTTCATCTGCAAAAATTAAGAGAATAAGCTTATAATACAAACTTCATATGATACCTTAGTAAAGTAGCTGGTTTTTTTCTGTCATACAATCAACACTAATAATACATATATATAAGTACATGTTAATTATGAGTAGACCACTTAGAGCTGACTCTAAAGTCCTAACCTATGACAACCTGGATATAGTCTACCCTAGTAAATTAGAAGTATGTGATGAACTAAAGTACAAGAAAAACACTAATTTCCCACTGTGGTATTCAATTTAAATGAATTGTGATACGTACCTGTAAATTATCCAGAAAATCACAATACATTCCAAAAGCAAATTATATATCTCTAATAATATTACATATGTTCCAAGAATTCTTGAGTCTGAAACTCACAATATAGATAGGGTAATTGAAATAAAGTAGCCTTATGATTTTGAGGAATTTCAAGTACTTTTCTAAATTGGATCTTATATTTGAAACATTGTATTTAGTGCAACTGATTTCCAAGCCCAGCACTGGAAACCTGGCTCAGAAGTAGAGTGCCTGCCTTAGAATGTATGAGGCCCTGGCTTCAATCCATGGCATCACACACACACACAAAAAAAAAAAAATCAACATGTACAATAAATATTCAAGAAATTTGTATAACCATGTCATAGGTATTACTGAATTTGGGTCATTGGGTTCAGAGTCAATATAAATGGCTTCCTAGTCTATATATTATGTTATTCTTCATTTCTTATCTGAAATTTTAGGCATATATTCTACATTAGGAAATTATTTTTATTTGTATATAATTATACAACTTTATTTTTCCTATGTCTTAGATATACACATAAACACGTATGTCTCATATATTATACATTGATCATTTTTAAATCTCCAAATGCACAAAGATTGATGCAAAAATTATGTTACAAAAAGAGTATTTAGTGGAGTGTGGTGATGCATGATTATAATTCCAGTGACCTGGGAGGCTGAGACATGACAATAGTAAGATCAACAAGGCTAGCCTCAGTAAATTAGGGAGGACCTAAGCAACTTAGTGAGACCCTGTCTCAAAATTTAAAAATTAAAAATAGCTTGGGATGTAGCTCAGTTGTAAAGCGCCCCTGGGTTCAATCCTTAGTACCTCCAACCAAAAAAAAAAAAAAAAGGAGCACTCATATTTAAGTGGTCCATATTCACATACTTCTTAGTATGAATATAGTAATATACATACTTGTGTCTATATTATGCTTGTTTTTTAACTATTATGTTTGTTTTTTAAGTATTATGTTTGTTTTTATTTAACTATTGCTACATATTTTGTAAAATGCAGTTACATACAATAAAAATATTTGGAAAATAAAAATTCATAAATACAAGACTTTCTTGTAATTTGATTTTCTTTTAGACTATAAAAAATAATCCCTGGGGCTGGGTCTGTAGCTCTGTGGTAAAACACCTGCCTTGCATGTGTGAGGCACTAGGTTTGATCATCATCACCACATAAAAATAAATAAAGATACTGTGTATTCATCTACTACTAAAAAAATATTTTAAAAAGATGTTAATCTATGATAAAGTAAGAAAATTACTTTCAAAAAAAAAGAGATAATCCCTAAAAAGTTTCAGAGACCAATGGGTCCACATCTTTGCACATGCACCTCAGCTACCACAACACCGAAAGAGAAGCCGTTTCAGCTTATTATTTCCCAGAATCAGGATAAATGAGTGGCCTGAAGGAAAAGTCACTGCAATAGACCAGATAATTAAAGCAACAATATATTTATCAGGAAACATAGGGTTACAAACTTCAACAAGAAGCGACAGAAAAAAAATGACATACAGTAGCAGAAAAGTGATCACCGATTGCAATGCTTTCACGTGGGCCACGGTGCTGGCGTCCCTGGACCCTTTGGCACTGTGCTGCATCCTCTTCAGGTGCCTCCACAGAGAGAAGATTAGCAGGAGAGCAGTCATCAGGGACAGAGTGAAGGGTATCACCATGAACATAACGTTGATGAATGAAAAAGTATGGGAAAACTGTGCAAACTTATCCAAACTGGAACTGAAAGACAGGTTTCCTTTATATACATCAATCCAGACACCAACTTGAGTGTTCATCAATACAATATTCAAAAACAAGAAGTTTAGAGACACCAGCAGGGTCACTGACACCACCTTTTTAACTCTCCGCTTTAGGTAAAGAAAAAGAGAGTTAGAAAAATTGGCTATCTTGAGAAAATAAAAGATGCTGAGACTTGCAGCAAGCCAGATGCTGAAATGGTTGGTCATTGCCCCAGGAATAATTATTATTTTTAACATTTTTCTAGACATAAATACACCTGGATGCAGTGCATAGATTAATGCATATACTAATGGGAAAAGGAGCTGGCCAATTCGGGAGAGTGCCAAAGCAGTGAGAATTTGATCAACTGAAGAGATCTTTCTTCTCTTGACCCAGTCCACACAGTTCACTACTGTTATGAATCCATTTCCTAAAACTCCAATCGTAAATTCCACAGTTAAAAAGATTTCCAGTATAATATGTACAATACCATCCATTGCCTGTAAGAGAATGAATAACCCAGCTTCAAATACACTGCTAAAAATTCGACATTCATTTAAAAGACTATGTTTATCTGATTCTGGAATATTCACAGCATTGCCACATCTAAAATTTCTCATATGAACCAACAAACAAGCAAGCATCCAGATTTGTCAATAACCAGGTTCATAGTTTTCTTCATGAAAATATTGTGTTTTCCAAGACAGACCAGCTGAGCTTCATCCAGATACTGTGCCTCAAACATCGTAGACAGTAGTCTTCTGTATTGAGGATAAACGAAATGCTAGAACCTCATGTGTTAACTTGGAGATAGGAGAAACATTTATTAACACTCTTTTGCTGTTTTGTATAACTCTACCTACTTTAATCTAACTACCTGAGTTCTGGACAAACAACATTACAAAATTCTAATATATATAGAAGGTAACAAGAAGCTAACTGTGTGTGGAACTTTACTGAGACTTCCTCAGCACCAAGCTTCTTTAAATACTTCAAAGTTTGGCCTGTTCAGGGACCTAAGCACATATTGTCCAAAACTCTTCCTACAAACTATCAGAGTTTTGTGGATATCATTATTACTCCTCAAATATTCAGTACTGAGAATAATACTTCTTAATCATTTTACTTTCTACAAGGACATGCATACACATACACAATTCACACATAAATATACATACATTTGGTTCCAAATTCCCTTTGTTTTTCACTTCAATTTTTCAGGTACTCAGTATTTTTATGCATGTGACTCATGTCTAGTACTACGATAGTTGTTCAGACATTGCTTAAAAATATTTTCCAGTATAATGGGGCAGTATAAATGTGAATATTCAGTAAACTTGGAGCTATTAAATTTGTTCATCTGAAAAGCAGTATAAATCTTTGTGGTCCCCTGAAGCAGTGAATGAGTTAATCCATAGACCAAGAATCCTCCTCATTCTTTGCCTACCTCTTTCCTGATAGGGAGCATTCCTTCATCAGAAGCAGAGACCTTCAGATTTTATCCCCCTCCCCTCTCCTTCTACCAACACCTGCTCCATGACATTCACTACAGGTACCCAGGTTTATGAAGAATGGTACACTGCCTGGTGAAGATGTTTAATGAGGAACATGAAATAATCATTCTTCCCTTACTAAGGAATAATCAAGGAACAAATGAAACATATGCACAAACTATTACCAAAGACAGCAGAAAAACATGTTTCAGA